TCCCTGCCAGTCAGCACCCAGGCCCTGGTCACACGCGCGCCCCCTGGGGCTTTGCCCACCCTTCCTTTCCTCTTTTTCTTTGATCCTTAACCTCTCCCTTCCAAACGAAAATCCTAGAGGCCTGAAGTCCACCAAGCGCTGGTGTGTTTCCAGTTAACACAGTTGCCCTCCGTTTCCCCACTGGCAGCTTGCCCACGGGACACTGTGAGGCTGCCCCGATACTGGAGGCTCTTCTACCTGCCTTGGGGGCCTTCTGACATCCCTCTCAGGTCACACTCAGGTCACACGAGGCCCTGGGAGGCTTCTTTATCCTGGGTACTAGCCTAGGGGGAATTCCAGGAAAAGATCGGAGGGAGGAGGAAAGTGAGTGGAGGTCCCATCCTCTCAGACTCTAGACAAGCACTGACTGTAGGCTGGCCCCAGAGGCAGCCTGCCATGCAGATGTGCTACTCTGGATCCTAGCAACTGCCTCTTGTCCCTTGAAAGGAGACTTGATGTTGCTAGGAGCCCTCGCTTTCCCCTCCCCCACCCACACCTTGTTAAACTGTCCCCACAGAGCTCCCTCCGCCCTCCGCTGGGACTCAGATACAAACAAGGAACACTCCTCACTGTGGAGTACTGCACCCCAAACTGTGTGCGGCCCAGCACTTTCTTCTGGGTCTGCCATCATTCAACCCATAGCCCTGTGTGGTCAAGCATTAGCAGGAGCCTCTGAAAACACACCCACCACAACCCACAGCTGGTGAGCAGGATCATATGAAACTGTGGTCTGTCTGACTTATGAGCCACACCCTCAGTCCCTGTGACTTCTCTTCCCTAGACTGGGTTAGGTGGGACTCGTAAAGCACCGCAGCTTCCTCATTAAGACTCCAATGGCGGTTGGACTAAAACAGAAACCACACTACATTCAAAAGACCCACAGTCTAAATTCTACCTGACCACAATCCTAAGGTTCAACCCTTATCCTAATGCCACACTAAAGGCACATGCTAATCTCACAGCAACCACCACACCACTGTTAACCTGAAATTACATCGCCCTAACCACAGCCCTAGTCTCCCACTATTAACCTGAACATCCACCACTGTAGCCAGAAATCCAGACCTACTCTTAAAGGGCAAGGAACTCTGGGGACCCTCTCTACCCTTTGCTCCTACAAGCTCTTTGCCTTGCCCCCAAGGACACAATCGATTAAAAGACATTTGTACAAAATCCCCTTCCCACCTAACACTAAGCTGGAGACTTTCATGCAGGGATCACAGGAGGGTGGACAGCGGGGGTGCAGTGGGTCTTGGTGGTAAATGGTGGTGGTGATGGTGGTGGTGATGGTGGTGGTGGTGGTGGTGGAGGTGTTAGTGGTGATGGTGAAGGTGATGGTGATGGTGGTGATGGTGGAGGTGGTAATGGTGGTGGTGGATATGGTGGTGGAGGTGGTGGATATGGTGGTGGAGGTGGTGGTGATGGTGGTGGTGGTGGATGTGGTGGTGGAGGTGGTGGTGGTGGTGATGGTGGTAGTGGTGGAGGTGGTGGAGTGGAGGTGGTGGAGGTGGTGGTGGAGGTGAACGAAATCTGTAGCCTTCACCACTGAGCTGCAGGTTGTGGCCCAGTAATCAGCCAATAGCTTAACTCCGAGTTCGTAAAGGGCCGGGGCTGGGGCTTGAAGAACCCCTGCAGTAGTTTGCGTCTGGACTGTCCCTCCTCACAAGCCTGTGTGTTAGCGCTTGATCCCCAGGGTGGTGCTATTTGGAGGTGGCAGGATTTTCAGGAAGGTGTGGGGGTGTGGGCGGTCCTCCGGTCACTGGTGGGAAGGGATACAGCATCAGGGAGGATTTGGAACCCCGTTATCTTCCTCTTCACCTCTTGCTCCCCAGGCATGAAATGAACACCTTGCTTCACCACACACTCACTTTCTGGCTTGCAGCCAGAGGTCTGAAGCGATGGGTCTGCTCAGTCTTGGACTAGAACTTACAAAACTGTGAGTCAAAAATAAACCATTTCTTCTTATAAGTTAAGCACCTCAGGCGTTTTGCGAGAGTGATGGAGAGCTAATATAGTTCTGTTCTAAAACAGAAGCTATGGCAAGGGCCTGCTAGACCTCAGCTCTGAGAAGTCTTAGAAAGGGGGAATACCCAGATTTCATCAGAGATGTGGGGCTTCCTTGGACCAGGTGTTCTTGTTTCCACTTACAGGTGGGAAAAGGAAGAGGGGATTATGGGAAGTATAATCTGACTGTCTGCTCCCTGAGGGTAGCAGATGGATTCTGGGAGACTCCTGGTCGCTGCTCTCCTGAGCAAGCTGAGGCTTGCCCTAGCAACCTAGACATGTATGCTTAGGGCCAAGCATAGCAGGAGGAGAGTCCCTGGCCCTGGCACATTGGAAAAAGCCTCCACCTCCCTCAAAACTGCTCCCTGAACCCCTATCCATAGGGTCAAAGTTGGGTTACTGCCCTGGGCTACATCTGGGTTTCACTCTGCAGCTCTGGCTGATCTGGAACTCTCTATGTACACCAAGTTGTCCTGGAACTCACAGAGATCCACCTGAGCACCAGGATTAAAGGTGTACATCACTGGACAAATCCCATCTCTTTATATTTTACACATAAGTGCACCCCAAGGCCAGCCCTGCCCTGCCCAGGGCCTGAATTCTGTAAGTCTCAGAGTTGGCGTGGTAGATGCTAACACTGAAAAGGCCCAGAAATCCTTCCACCTCTCAGGGAACCTAGAAACGCAGTGGTCAAGTCCAGCTGGAGAAGACTGGCTTGAGGCAGCTTTGTGGGGGAAATAGGAGACAATGGCTTCCTTTCCCACCTCTCCTGGGAAGAAGCAAAAACTAGAATCACACATAAGATGCGCTGGGCCATGGGTTGTACAACTCTGCCGGGCCAGAACAGTGTTTCCTAACGCCCAGTCACTCTAGGCTTCTCTACTGGCCAGAGATGTGTTAGGCGGGGGTGGGGGGTGGAGGGTCAAAGGACCCTTTGCAAACCTTCAGGTGGCCTTTCTACACTTCCACAACTGCCTCTCCTAACAGCAAGGACAGGGACATAGGAGGTAAATGAAGTTCTCAGCTGAGATGAGAGACAGACAGACAGACAGACAGACAGACAGACAGACAGACAGACAGACAGAGACAGAGAGTGACTTTGTGGGGGGGTCGGGGGTGTGTAGGTAGGTGGTCAGGGACAACTTTTGGGACTCTGTTCTCTCCTGTCATAGGACGTATGCCTAATGTCACACAGATGGTGAGTGTAAACTCAGAACAAGAGCCAAGGCTTATCTGAATCCAAAACCCAGGTGCTAACCCGTGGTACTGAGATGGTGCACAGGTCTAGCCTCTGCCTGGTACTCTCCTGAAAGTACTTTGGCCATCACAATTGCTGCAGTGTTGTCCCTCCCCAGACATCTCTCTCTCCTTCCCACTCCCAGAATGTCCTCTGTGTCCTGTCACTCCTTTGTCTGGATAGGCATGGCCTGTCCAAACGGCTATCAGGCCAGAGGCCAGAAGCTGCTTGGGAAACCTGGCAGGGCTCACAGGAAGTGTTTAGCACTACCAGGCATGCAGGATTTGGCCTCGCAAAGCAAAACACAGCTGGGTGGACAGCAGCCGACAGTGTTGCGCTCAGACTTGCCCGGATTTCATGCTTGGAGGCCACAGGGCAGAAAGGGACGGGACTGGCCTGGGGCTGCAGCACATTAAGGATACCACAGTGGCCTCTGGCCTGAAAGCCTGCCGGAGCCGAGGATGACCCCACTGTGGGCCAAAGACTTCACCCTGACCTGAGTCTCGGATCGTTCGTTCGTACACCAAGGACAATATCCCTAGGGTACAAAACACACACAACCTAGACTTCTCACCTTTCAGTCATTCGTGTACAAATGGATTCAGCACTAGACCGTGTTAGATGTCAGGGACAATGCATTCACAGACAAGCAGGTACAAGCGTCCTTACCCCCTGAATGGCCTATCTGGAGGAAGGACAAAATGCTATAGAGGGAACCACGTCCTCCAGCTGGCATCTTGCTTGTGCCTTCACAGTAGGCCTATCTGCTTGGGGCTCACAGCCTATAGCAATCAGTGCAAGGGCCGGCCCCGCCCACCGGCTCATAGCCAATCCCAGGCCGACCCTTGGTTTTGCCCTGACATCTCAGGCCTTGGCCGTGGATGACCATTGGGTTTTGATCTTGAAGCTCCCTAAGCCTCGACCTGAGCTCACCTATCCTTTCTCCCTGTTTCTGGCTGCCCTCGGAGAGCACCCAGTGCTTGTCCGGGTGTTCATAGCCCCCTCCCCCTCCCTGCAGCCCCTTGCTACCTCAGAATAGCCTGCCTGTGGCTCCCACCCTTCATCCCTCCTCCTCCTGCTCCTCAGCAGGTCTCTCTAGACCTTTCTGACCTTTCCGGCTAAGAACCTGACCTCAGCACCAGCCAAGCCCTCCCCTGGCTCTCTTGGCTCTGAGAGGGCAAATCTGTTTTCCCCTTAGTTCAGCAAGACAAGGTCAGTTGCAAGCTTTCAGAAAGAACTCCTTGAGTAGATGTGAATGGAAAAACCAACCTAAAAAGCCGAAAGCAAACAGCCTCCTAGAAAGGGACCAGTTTGCAAAGTTCAGATTTCCCGTCCTAAGCTGGAGAAAGGTCTAGCCAGATTTGGGGCGAGGGAGAGGGCAAGTAAGTCAAGGGACAACGCCCCCCCCTTGCTCATTCTGTTCACTTTCGCAGCATGTACCTCCTCTTCCCTCTAAGGAGAAGCGTGGAGGCGAGTGAACAGAACGGGCTGTCTTTATTTTAGGTGAAGGGGCACCGTAGGGAACAGTGCAGGGGGCGGGGTCAGAGGAGATGGGGAGATGATGGGTAAAGAGCTGATACAGGCACTCCGTGCTGTTCCAGGACATACAGTCACTAATTCAACCCTCGCAAACCCACGGCATAAGTGTTAGCTTTGCTGCATCCATACTGATGAACGACTGTTCCACAGCCCCCACCCCCACCCCCAGAAGAAGGCTTACCTGGCTGGTAGTGGTGGTGGTGCCAGCGGCTGTATTCTGGTCACGAGACTTCCTCTGGCCTCGCTGTTCCTGTGAGGGCTGGGCGCCCCCTCCACTGAGCGTCTCGGCCCGGGCTTGGCATTCTGGGGGTCAAATTCCTCTTCCGGGATGACTTCTTCACAGCGTGCCCCGCGGAAGCCGGAGCGGCAGACACAGAGCTGGGGCCTGCTGCAGGAGCCCCGGTTCTGACAGGGAGGCTGGCACACGGCTGAGGAAACAGGAAGAGAGTGATGGCAGCAGAGCCAGGCACCGTGCGGCCACCCACCAACCCAAGCCCTAGGGGCTTCTGTCCCAGGAAGAGGACCTTGCCAGGCCCCTCACACACATGGGGAGCCTAACACCTAGCCTTGGAAGGCTTCTGGGACCATTCCTCTCCCTGCTACCCACAGGTCTCCAGGACGAATATGGCTGAGTTTGGAACAAGAGCTGTGGAGTGGGCTCTCCCCATAGCACCAGAGGGACACCCTGAAGGGAAAAGGACCACTTGGCACCCTATTAATGTTTAGATGTCCACTCCTACTGGGCTACAGAAACACCAAACAAATACAGACATTTTATTTCTTGTCTTCTGGTAGCTTCAGAACTTAAAAATAAAGATGGTTACCGAGCGAAGTATCAATAAATATTGAATGAATGAATGAATGAATGTCTTCATGGGGAAGGTTCAGCATTAGCCCAAAAGTTCACTGTGTGTTGTTTGCTTCTTGTTTGCTGTCACTTATGAGCTCTGCAGCCTAGACCCCACGGAGCCTGTTTTCTGGTGAGTCGCAGGGGTGGGCTGTGGAGGCTGGGAGAGCCCAAGGCCTCTAAGATACCACCCCAATTTGTTTGTGTCCTCTGAGATCCCCAACTCAGTTAGAATTCTGGCTTGGGCATTGGGATGATTCTGCCCAGTGGGTCCTAACCCAGCCTGGAGACAAAGCAGAGGCTGAAACTGGGTGTTTTCCTGTAAGCTGGTTCTCAACCTGGGGATGGAACGACCATTTCACAGGAGCCCGCATATCAGATATTTACATTATGATTCACAGCAGTAGACAACCTATAGTTATGAAGTAGCAAAGAAAATAATTTTGTGGTTGGGGTCACCACAACATAAAGGGTTGCAGCGTTAGGAAGGTTGAGAGCCACGGCTCTAAGCCTCCACTAGGGTTGCAGCATTAGGAAGGTTGAGAACCACGGCTCTAAGCCTCCACTAGGGTTGCAGCATTAGGAAGGTTGAGAACCACGGCTCTAAGCCTCCACTAGGGTTGCAGCATTAGGAAGGTTGAGAACCACGGCTCTAAGCCTCCACTAGGGTTGCAGCATTAGGAAGGTTGAGAGCCACGGCTCTAAGCCTCCACTAGCCCTTTAGGACATGGCTTCTCTCTTCACTGGCCTTTCCCACCTTACAAAGGCCAGAGACAAACCCAGTGATCTGCAGCCACCTGGAACCCCCTGCAGAGGTCCACACTGGGATGTAAAGCCAGGCCACTTTCTCCCAGGACATTCCTGGAGAACAGGTGTGAACCCGTGTGAACCCATGGTCTGGGTCATTCCGGGCATTCTAGAAGGTCTCACCCACCTGCCTTCCATTCATTCGGTAAGTGGTTGTTGAGCCCTACTGAGGGCTCTGCCCTGAAGACGAAGTCATCTTTCGCATGGAGTTTGCACTCCAGTGAGGGAGGAGCAGGGAGCAAGGGAACAACAGTGTGACTATGACATAGCACCAGGCAGACAGAAGGGTGGCAGACTTCCGAGGGCAAGCATGGAGGTTAGAAGGAAGGCAGCATGGAGGGGGAGGCACACAGGGGCTACAGGCTGCGGGCGGACGGGGAGTAAGCAACCAAGGAAACACAGACCTTGTTGCCTCGCTCATTCTAAGTACATTTTTTAAACCACCAAACCACCGCTACTCAGACCACATGCCTCCGGGGAGGGGTTCACTAGAAATCTCTCTGGAAGGAATTTCATATTCTAACCACTGGTCAGTTTAGACGGAACTCTGCAATGGTAAATTTTGGTTGTCATCTTGATTGGAACTGGCCAAATATAAGGTGGTCTGCTGCCACCAGCTAGGTAAGTCTCCTCCTGGGTTAGAGCGAGGTAAGCTACTGAGCGCATTTGTAGGACATTTTCTTGATCGAGTTATTTGAAGTGAGAAAACCTGAAATGTGGTTGGCATCGTCCAGTGGCAACCAGACACAAGGTGGCCAAGGAGAAAGCTTGCTCTTTGCCTGCTCGCTTTCCTGTTGTCTTGCTGGCAGACTCATCTACCCTGTTGTGTCTTGAGCTCATCTACTCTGCTGCTGCTGCTTCCAGTCTTCACGGGACTCAGAACCCAGTGTGGACTGAAGACCGGTGGTTCTCCAGGAATCCTCCAGACCTTCTCCATCAGATGGAGACCACTGAGCACCCAGCTTCATGGATTGAGCTGTGAGTCTCTTCAGTGTGAAGACCAATACTATTAGAGTAAGTACCCAGACAGTATCATGCAAGCTAATTTAATAAATCCTTTTAATATATATTCATTCTATTAGTTCTGCTCTCCTAGGGAACCCTGGCTAATATACTCTCCAAATTTCTAGTCCATGCCATCTCCCTTTTGGGAAGTTTCCGTTTCTTTAGCATACAGGCACACACTAGCACTGATGACCTAACTCTGACCTCTAACAACACTCTAAGTCAACCCACTCCGGCTAAACTTGCTTTCCTGCTTCCTAACCTGGACGCTTGCCTAAGAGCTCCTATTCCCTCAAAGTCACCGCCCCCCATCCCTGATGACCCATCTTTCAGTGGCTGCCTCCTCTCTTGAACAAAAGGCAAAAGCACTCTGAGCATGTCGCTGACTGAGCTCACCCAGTGGGTGGGTTTGTCGTGCTGTGTCTCAGTGTCCCCATCTACAAGGTTAGCCCTTGGAGTACAGTCATCTTTAGTTCCTGGCATCCAATAGCACAGGCGTCCTCTTCACTCTGGCAGTTTCTCCCCAGTGGGTGCTGACAATATACCTTGCAAATAGAGTCTCATTTACTCCTCTCTACAACCCTTTGCAGCAGGTATGATTATAATTCCTAGTTTGCCCATAATGCCTATGGATGTCAAGGAGGTTAGACTTGCCTAGATAATGGAGTTAGCATTCAAACCTATGACTAAATATAGCCCATCCTTGCCTACCAATTCCCAGCATGACTTGCATGGCTCTTTTTCCTACAACCTCTGAGCCCTGGCTTGGAGCTGATAATGATAAAAAAGGATATGTTGGTTTCAAATTATTATTACCAAAGGGACCATTGTAAGCCCAGCCCTGGGGAAGCTACCTATCCCAGGCTGGCACTGGTAGGTAAGGGAGGCTCCAGGCCAATTTACATTTCTAGAGCCACATGGTAAATTTCAAATTATGAGGAGAGATTGTGCCTGATCTGCTTTGATAAGTGTTCTTAGAGTACTCACAAGTTCTGGGCTGAGATAGAGTGACAGTTAGGGAAGTTTCCTGGAGTAAGTGATGCTGACCAGCCATTCAAAGGATGAGACAATTGGAAAGCCTGCCCATCGAGAGTATTCAAGGGCAGGGTACCCAGTCAGTAGGTAGTAAGGGTAGTATCAGGAAGACAACTGAGGAATGCTAACCCTGAACTAGATCCTAAGGCCAAGCATCTTCTGTGGTGCCTCGGGGCCCCTTTCTATTCCCAACCCCCATGTAAGCAGATAATTCCAGAGAACTGTAAACCAAACCCTTCCCCAAACACAAACTCTCACCCCAAGATTTTAGCCAATGACTGGACATCATTCCATCTGCCCAACTATAACTAGCTACCACCTGACCACCTGCCCCGGCCCCTGTCACCACCATTTCGGCCATAGACACTGTCTGCTAAGACAGCTTGGCAGGCAAACACTGAAGAAGGCATATACCATGGGCACTTCTTGGGCCTGGTTTTCTTTTAGGAATGGAGAAGCCATGAGGACCGACCCCTCTCACCCAGCAGAGACCCCAAACCTGGCATGCATGAGGGGAGGGTCATGCAGCCCCGATCTCTGAGCAAGTGATATTTGCCTCAAAGGTGGCTTTTAAAATTTTTTTAATTTTATGTGCATTGGTGTTTTGCCTTCATGTATGTCTGGGTGAGGGCATCAGATCCCCTGGAACTGGCGTTACAGACAGCTGTGAGCCACTACATGAGTGCTGGAAATTGAACCCTGAACCTGGGTTCCTCTGGAAAAGCAATCAGTGCTCTAACCACTGAGCAATCTCTCCAGCCCACCAAAGGTGGCTTTTGATGTAAGATGACCTTCTCCCCTCCTAAGACCAAGGATGACCCATCCTCGACATTAACAATAACATCTTTCACTCTCTGGAAATCTGAGACACCCAGCCCGGCAAGCTAAGCCCCTGTGCCTCCACCACTTGCTTCTGGTTCTGCCTTCTTCAGCAAGGCTGTCTGCTGCCAACGTCTGTGAACTCTCTCTTGACCAGCACTGAGGGTCCAGCGAGTCCATAGATAACTGAGAGCAGCTACACAGAGGAAATCCCGATATGTGGGGTTCTCACACTTCCAGAAGGTCTTTTCTCAACCAGGAGTTCCATTCTCAGGGAGGACTTTGGTCGGTCCAATGAATGGCTTACAGGGAATGAGTGGTCAGCAGGGAAACTGGATATATCATTTTCTCTCTATTATATCATCATAAATAAAAGTCTTAAGACCTCCAGACCAGCCAGCTGTGTTGACAGATAAACACCCTCCTGGGAAGGTGGCCTTTCCCAGCTTGCGGAGGCAGACCTTCCCTGTCGGGAGGGTCTGAGGGTTTGAGCCGGCTCTCACCAGCCTCCTAGCAGCCTGTCTGGTCTCCACCTGTCTCAGCATGTGACACACTACAGCGCTACATTGTCTGGTTTTTTTTTGCTTGTAAATTTATCTTATGTGCATTGCTGTGAAGGTGTCAGATCCCCTAGAACAAGAATTACAGACAGTTGTGAGCTACCGTGTGGGTGCTGGGAATTGAACTCAGGTCCTCTGGAAGAGCAGGCAGTGCTCTTAATGACTGAGCCATCTCTCCAGCCCAGGGGTCTGGTTTTTTTTTTCTAAGCCAATCATATGTATTATGAGACTGGATCATGAAGTCCTCTTCCCTCCCCTACAAAGGCACCCCTAAATGGCTCACAATGGTGGTGCCTATCTAAGAAAAGGAAAATTCTGACAGCTTTTTTCGTGTTTTTTTTCTTGTGTTAAGTGC